TTTGTAGATTGACTTAAAACAGTTTTCTATTGTTTTTTCTTCATTATATTTGGGAACTGCAGTTTTTTCCCTTTAAAATGCCACTTTCTATGTTTCTCCAGGCCTTGTTGCAATTATCTTTATCTCCATCTGTATGTTATAGCTCTCCGGTCATTTCACATTCTCTTTGAGGTCTGGCAAAGATACTTGGCTTGAACATAGAGATTATCTGTTATATTGTTTTCCTGTTGCTTAAAATGTCAAAAGTGTATAATCAATCAGCTGCAGCATACCCATTTCTTCTAGATATTTCCACTGCTTTCATATCTTTGTTCATCAGTTGCACTGTTTGGAAAACAAAAAAGTAATCAACACATCAAGTTTGGTTGATTATGAAGTCATAAAAATATAATGTTCTATCTGTAATTACAGCAGTAGCAGATCTGGTAACGAAGAAAACAACTCAAGCAGTATTGCAAATGTAGATCCTAGCAAAGCCCAGTTGTTGGAAGCACTATGCCATTCCCAAACTCGAGCGCGGGAAGCAGAGAAAGCCGCACAAGAAGCCGATACAGAGAAGAAGCACATTGTCTCACTCTTTCTCAGACAAGCCTCCCAACTTTTTGCTTATAAACAGTGGTTCCAGTTGCTGCAGTTACAGAACATCTGCCTTCAACTTAGGAACAAAGATAAACCAATTTCCGGTGTGTTCTCAGATGTCTTGCCTTGGGTCCCATGTAAAGACAGACAGTTTAATCAACACAGGAACAGAAGGAAGAAACGGGGCAGACCTCGGTATTGGATTACAATGTACGACGTTGCTGTCGCTGTGGGATTGGGTCTCACTGGCGCCGGTTTGCTCCTCGGATGGACGTCAGGTTGGTTGGTTTCCATTTTTTGAGTTATTATCTGTATTACCTTGGATGGTGAAGGCAGCTGGTTTTCATGGGAAAACATAATTTTCCATATAAAAAATCAACTTTTTGTAAATATACCATATACAACCTTTGCATGTGTTAATACAGTTATACTTGACCAACTCTTGTTAAAACTTTATATTGTATACAAAATGGCATGGCCACATGTAAATCTGTATTTATGTGAGTTTGATGATAAGAATTTCTTAGTGTTTTCCATCTTCTCAGCTTGGAAAGTCTAATGATGTGAACCATTTGAAAGAATGTCTAATTTTTGTTAGCAATATACTATGTTGTAATATTAGAGTGAGAAAATAAATAATCATAGCCGATCAGTTCGGAAGATCGTTAAACTACTAATTCTAAAAGTTCAGATTTAAAACTTTCAATTTGCTTGATTGACCTCACAAATTTTCCTACTGTTTTCTATCTACGTGGCAATTAATTGGTGGTGAATATTATATTTAATTGATTGTGATAGCTAGCCATATCAGAGTTTAGAGTTAATTAAAACATTTAAAACTAATACAGTGAAACTCATTCCCTCCTAATTAATTCTAACTCCTTTGGATCAATGGATGGTCGTAGTTATAGTACAATTTGGAAATATGGATGTGTATCTCCTGCTTAAGCAATTGTTGAACTAAGAAAAATAAACAAAAATTTGACTCATCTATTAGCAAAATTCATTTATTTTTCTATGATGATCGAGGTGGATCATCGAGCCACTATATCAAAACCAAGAACAATGTTTTTTGACTGCAAATGGTTCCAACATAATAATAATAATCTTTTTTTTTGGGTCAAAATGAAGCTTTTATAGCTTTTAAGGAGCATAATGCCTTTTTGCACTTTGTGTAAAAAGAATGGTTCATAGAGGATGTTCGACAAATGACATATATTATCGACGATAATATCCAAATAACATGGTTTTATGCTCAAATCCAATAATGAAATCATAATCCAATCTATTTTTCTCTTAACAATTTTAAGTAGACTTTTTATGATTGAAGAAAATACGTAAAGGATAAGATTGAAAGTTTTAAAAGTTAATGGAATGACACTAAAAATTCCTGTCAATTTATATATTTAGCCTATACTACATTCAAAATGAGATTAAAGATAAAAAATATCGTAGAATGGGAAATAAACTCTAACCTTGTTCAATAAATTAAATTATAATAAATTAATACTATTTTGATCATGTACTTTCATTTTTTTTATTTATTTTGATCCATGTATTTCAATGTCCATTAATATTTATACAGTCAAAGTTGGTTCGTTTTAGTTATTTATTGTAGTTTCATTTTGATCTCTGTATTCTTGAAGAAATGATAAGAACAAATATTTAAAAGCAAAAAGATTAAAATAGATAATTTGAAAATTTATATATTAAAATGTTTTTGGATCTAAAAAAAGGGCAGTGTGAATGAAATAAATTTCCGTTTGACTTTGGTCGATTACCGACCTTGTTGACTGGTTCCCAATCAGTGTCTGCCACGTGTTCGCGCCAACCACTGAAAACCCTCTTTGGCTGTTATCAAATTCCGAATTCCCAAATTCCAGAATCCCCAATTCACCAATACGCAATTACATTCTTCTTCTTCATCTTCTTCTTCTTCTTCTTCTTCAGCTTCCAAAATATGCCGTTTATTGAGGTTAACAGCAGCACTGCAGGTTCGGAGAATGCAAGCATCAACTCATCAATCAATCTTTTCTACAGAACTTATGGACGCGGATCAACTAAGGTCCTTCTTATCATAGGTCTCTTCAATTTTTATTCTCCTGCTTTACCCTTTTCATTTCTGCTTTTCGGACTCCATGATTCTGATACCTCTAAAATCGATGAATCCGATGGGTAGGATTGGCCGGAACCCACGACTCGTGGTGCCCCCAAATCAAAGGCCTTTGCGGGACCGATGTGCCCAATGATGACGCCGATCGGGACGTCACCGGTGGCCGGAATGCGGCCGACGCCAGCCAAGAATCCAACTCCGGGGATGGGGGTGGGATCGAGGTTTGTGCATTTGATAACCGGGGCATGGGTCGGAGCTCCGTCCCCACCAAGAAATCTGAATATACGTGAGTTGTTTCATAATCATCAGAGCATTCTTTTATTTGTCTTTTTTTTTTAATATTGATTTATTTGTGGTTTATGAATCAATTTTCTTCCTTGCGCGTGTCTGAGAAAACAAATAAGAATTTTAGGGTGTTGGGTCTATTTTCTGTTCCCTTTCCTCCTTTATAAATTTGAGAATTTGTTTTACCACATCTTTTCTAATACCAAAAATGAAAAGAACTTCATTCTTATTTTCGTTTCTGGCAATTTTTTAGTAATCTGTTTTCCTTTTCTTCGTTGTGCAGAACAAAGATAATGGCCAAGGATGCCATTGCCTTATTGGATCATTTGGGGTGGGAAAAAGCTCATGTTTTTGGTCATTCCATGGGTGAGTGAGTTTTTAACTCTCTTCCATTTCATCACTTCTGAACAAGAAATAGTGAAAGTATCATCTTCTTATTGTTATTAACTCTTCGTTCTTTCATATGATCATCTGAATTTTCTCCCCTATATCAATAGGAGGTATGATAGCTTGCAAATTAGCAGCTATGGCGCCAGAAAGAGTCAAGTCATTGGCCATGCTCAATGTAACTGGTGGAGGTTTTCAATGTTGCCCCAAGGTATCTGAATAAATATTTATTACTGCCAAACTGAGTTGTTTATTTGTTATATAATCTGCAGAAAAATAGCATCAAACTGATAGAATGTTCTTATATTCAATCAGTGCCAGATACCATATGCAACATCAAGAAACAATATAATTCTCATTGACAAAAAAATGCTATTTTAGTTGTGGTGAAGCTGTTTCATAAGGAATAATGATAATCTCTTTCTTTTTACATTTTTCTTGTAGCTTGACAGGCAAACATTCGACATTGCAGTCAGATTCTTAAAGGCCAAGACTCCGGAGCAAAGGGCTAGTGTTGATTTGGATACCCACTATTCAAAGGTAACGAAAAGTTTTGGTGTTTATCTTCTGTTATCTTAAGTAGATTAATAATTGTTAAACATTGTAATACATGTAGACTGTATCTTTTTCTAAGAAATATTGTTGTATCTTATGGTGCAGGAATATCTTGAGGAGTTTGTGGGATTTGAAAAGAGAAGAGCAGTTTTATATCGGGTATGTATGATGGGAGGATCACTCTCAACTGGCTTTATGTACCTTCATAGTTGGATTCTGGATTCTCTTATCTTTTTAACAAGCCCGATCCTACCCCGTTGCCGCTCCCTCTTTTCAAACCACCCTCTCCTCCCTAATCCTCCCAAAAAAAGGAGGGAAAAGGGCAACAATAAGTTCTTTTTTTTTTAAGGCTTCTAAAACTTACTAATGGCGTTCAAATGTAGGGTTGGATTTTTTGCCATCTGTCAACTAGTTAATTCTACCATTATAAGTTGCCTCAGATTTTACTGATCTCTACAGTCTGTAGATAGTTTGGAACCGGCAATATCCTATCATAAAGATAAACATACTTCTGTTTAATGATACAAATCTATATCTACGCACATAGAAACCCAAATACTCATTCGATTGTTTCTGAGATTTGTTTTTCTTTAAGTAAACCTGATATTGAATAACAACAACCAAGTATTTTTTGGCAATGAGCGTTACATTTGGAATCTAACCATGAAGGAAAAGGAGGAGTCCAACATCCCCTCTTACGACAAACTTTTTAAAAACTTCCTCGCAAAAACTACTTTAATATGCAAAGCACTAAGTTACAAAGAACTAATGTCAGTTGTAAGGAGACCTATTTGAGAAAGGTCCATCTTCTCCCCGTTAATCAAGCTCCTTGCCACCACATTTCTGTAGTTATTTATTGAATCCCTATTCTTTAGCATAAATAATTCCCTGTGAATAGCTAGTTGTTTCCGAGATTTGTCAAAGTCGTGAAATCACATGTAGTTGTGTATGTATAAAGGGATGTATGTCTAGATAGGACTCTGCCAAAATGGATGCATTTTTCTTCAAACCATGGCCTCACATTGAGAGGCATCTTAATATTTGAGGAGCTTATTAATAGTTTCAGGTGTATTTGACAGTCTTCATCTATTGATCGTTTATATCAATTCCTTCTGTCTCTATTAACCGTTTTTCTGTTGGCAAACAAATTTGGATCCTTGGTCTCGGAACTTCTTTCCCCAAAATAATATATTATTTGGATCCTCCGGTATATAATCATTACACTCACACTCGCACATCACGCATAATACATTCATAAAGATTTAGAGCCCAAGTCAACCTGAAAAACCATTGCAGGAATATGTTAAAGGTATATCATCAACAGGAATGCAGTCTAATTATGGTTTTGTGGGTCAAGTCTATGCATGCTGGATGCATAATGTGACAAGAAAAGAGATCGAATGCCTTCGCTCTGCTGGAATTCTTGTATCAGTCATTCATGGCAGGTAAACAATCATGTCTCTTATTAGCTATCCAAATCTGCAAAGTAAGTTTGTGGAGATAAACATGTTTCTAACACCCACCATTTATTGCCAATGTTGAGCTATGGGCATAGCTCAACAGTAAAGGGATTTACTCGATCAGTAGTTCAAATCCCCACACTTCCACATTTATTGTAAAAAGAAACCTGCCGTTTATTGCATAAAGGTATTTTACCTTCTTGTTGATTGATGATTGTTTGATTTTCGATGACTAGGCACGATGTAATTGCTCAAATATTCTATGCTAGACAACTTGCAGAAAGACTGTATCCAGTTGCGAGAATGGTAGATCTTCACGGAGGTCATCTAGTAAGTCGCGAGAGAACCAAAGAGGTATATATATTTTTATCCGAATTGGAATACATCTAAATTGTACTTTTCACTATGTCTAGTTGACGACAGAAAATGACAGCTGAAGTGTTTGATTTCTACAGGTAAACCAAGCTCTTCTTGACCTAATCAGGGCCTCAGAAACAAAGATGAATCCACATGACTGGACCAACTTGCCAAAGAAAAGCTCATGTGAGCATTTTTTTCTAGTAGTCCTCTGTTTTTCTTTGTTCCTTTGCAAATGGTGAAGAAAATATCTTCTTTCTAACAGGGTGGATGGAGGAGAGAATGTCATTAGTAACACTGAAGACTGAAGCAGGAAGCAGTGTCTCCTCCAAACCTTTCTTGTTGGAGAGACTACATCTTTGCTTTTTGTATCTCCTTGGTCTGATTCTAATGGCGTTCGAGTATCTCCGAAACGCCTTCAAGAGCTTGAAATCAGTCCGAGTCGGAGCCTCCATTTCATGAACAAGCATTCCATTCCAAGGACTCTAAATTTTTACAGGTGAGTTGTTTTTTTTATTGTCCTCTATTTCCACAAAGAACTCAACAAAAAGAGGAATCTCAAGGTTGGTTTTGGTTTCAACTTTGTTGTTTCAGGGTCTGTCTGTTCATTTTTTCTTGTGATGGGAAATAACCAAATTATCAAAGTGAAGTTGGGGAATGAGTTTTCTTACAATACTGAGGACTTCTTAGATAAACACAAGGGAGAGAAGCCAACGAAAGGCCAATCTTAAAGGTTGGTGATCCCTCCCCTCTTGTAATCTGTATCTAACACACCTGCTACTGTTAACTACTTACCCTTTTGTATAATTTATAAAAATCTTCATTTTATACATTAATTGCATATTGTTCTCAGTTTAAAGTCGTGTTGTATTCTAATCGCTCCATGAACTTTTAAAGTTGTGTCTATCAGGTTTTGTACAAAGTTTGTAATTGATCCATCAACTTTCAATTTTATGTCAACAACTCACTAGGTTAAATTTGTTAGTTTATTGTGTCATAAATTTTCGTTCAATATCCAAATGATGTCAACTTGAGTCTAGTTCAGACATCTATTTTAAACCAAAAGATCGTGAGTTTGAATCTCCACTCTTAAATATTGTACTAAAAAGATACATACCTGAATGAAAAGAGTTAACCATCTTTTTTTTAAAATATATATAATTAATGTTATACTATCTTCAAACGACCGATCAGATGCCTGAAAAGAAAAATAAAACAAAATAGAAGGAGCATTTGACATACAAATGCTTGCATGGTTAAGAATATGCTTATCCTAATATTCTCCTAAAAATAAAAATAAAAACAATCCTACCTCACCAATTTGAGATTTTGGGTCTTCTAGAAATTATGAAATCTAAGTATTAAATCCGTAAATACAACTTCGTATCGAAAAACTCTTCGTTTGAAGACTTCGTGCTTTGATGCTATGTTATTTCACCATTCAACTAAAAGCAAAAAAAAAGTTTAAACCAAGATGAGAGACGAATGAAACGAAATAGAGATGAATTCTAAAGCTCATTTAGCAAACTCAGAATTGTAAGGATAAAAAAAAACACATTCATGAGAGAGAGAGAGGTGCCTGGCTGTTGCGGCGGAGGAGGCTGCCGGAATAAGCATCTGCCTTAGGAAGAAAATGGAGAAAAGGAGAGAAATGGGTGTGGATTATGGAATACGAAAATATTATAAGCAATGAATCAAAATATATGCCCACATGGATACCACATTAATTACCGCTCTTTCTTTTCCCTTCAGCAAACATCACTCACTCACTTCTACCCAACCTCAACCGACCCAAAGAATTGAACCAACTCAAATCGAGTTGCTTTGGTTCGGTTCGGTTCGAATCTCCGTATTAGTTTAGTTGGTTTGGTAGAGTGTGTAAGTGAATCCATAATATATAAAAAAAATTAAAAAACATACTCTGATTCTAAAAATTACTCTCGGAAACTTTTGTCAAATCATCTCTTTAAACTTCAAATATTAATCATTCCAAACCACTTTTGATTATATAAAAACGACCAAAAAAAGTATAGGTAACTAAACGTTAGGATAATTATATCAATTATTATAGGTAACTCGTCAATTCTAAAACCATTCCCAAACAGGTCCTAAAAACATCACTTTTATCCTGACTATGCATGTAACAAATTAAAAGCTAAAATGAAGTGGTCTCGATTAGAGATATCTCTCCAATTATATCGTCTAGTAATATGAACAGGAGAAAGTTTAAATTTATTTTTAACATATACAATTGCAAAGTTAGTTGTAAATTGTAATGGAAGTAATTTAGTTAATTATATAATCTTCACCTTCGTCTCCAACCAACAGTAACAACCTGTTTAAACCTCTCATAGATGCTCACCTGCAATTCAATTCATTCAATTATATCATTAATATATTTGTTAAAATATTTAAATTTTCACTAAAACTCAACGATTATAAAACAATGACACTTGTCATTTTGAAAATAAATAACATAGACTAGTTGGGTAAAAATTTTACAGGCAAGGAGCTGCTTCGTCATGGTGAAAATTTTTAGTACTACGGAGGTATGGTAAATTTTTAGTAGTATTTATGGTTGTGGAATGCCCTAAAAAAATGAGTATAGAAAATGTACCTTATGAAAAATAAAATATCATATTTCAGTTAATGATACGTGAAATTGTAAATAAAAGAGGTATTTATAGTTTAAGTACTAAAAATTTAAACTTTCAACTTCAACCTCAAGGATAAAATAGATGTCATTTACTGTTAAGTTAGGTTGATATTAAATCTGAATTCGATTTATCGATTTGAACTTAAATCTCTCCTATTAAAATCTTATTTAACCATGCAATTAGTACTTTTAATTACGAATAAAAATATTAAAAAATTTAAGACCAAACAACATCTATTTGAAATGTGTTTTGACTAATAAAAAAGAGAGAGGAAATGTTTGGAGCAGTTTACCAAGAAGTGTGATTTTGAATAAGATGAAACTGATAGCAATACATTTCTCTTCCTTCTAAGCCTCCCGCCGCCGCCGCCGGCGACGGCGATTTCCTTACACTTCCTGAAACTGCCCCATCTCTTGGAGTTGGATCCCCCTGCCCTCCTAATTTCCGGGCCGTCGAGCACCGTTGTAGGCGACGGCAGAGCGGTCTGCAGCCGCGGAGGCAGCTCCAACGTTCTCTCTCCCGGCGGCAGCGGTGGCGACGGCGGAGCTTGTGATCCGGCGCATTGGCGGGGCTTGCCCGGCGCCTCCTCCCACAGGAAGGGGATTGAGGCCAGAGTTAAACGCGGCGGCGTGGGCATCCACGGCGGCTCCGGCAGAAGCTGAGAGAGAGATAGCGTCGGAGTAGAGCTCGGTTCCGTCGCATGCGGCGGCTCCGACCACATGAGAAACGACAGAAAAAGAAATAAGAATATATTGGTTCGTACAAAGAGATCTGCGTCTACCCACTGATTTTTTGTGGGGGTGGGCGTCTCATGCTTTAATACACACGCACGATCAATGTTAACGACATTAATTGTTTGACGTCGGAACAATGTGGCTGAAAATTCTACACCGTCAAATTATGTTATATTTTTCTAGTACAACAAATAGAGATTGGGGATCTAGTTAGAAACAGGTGTCAATTATCGTTAAATTAAACTCATATGTGTATGTTATAAATTTGGTCTTACATGTCAATTATTTCATATCATTTTTTCCGTTAATTAACTAACGATCAAATAATGTTAGTGATCATTTAACCATTTTTTAAATGAGAACTAACTATCATTTTTTTACCAAATAGACACTTATCCTCAAATTCAAGACAAAAAAAAAATGTATTTTACACTTTAATATTTCAATTTAAATTTAGTTATTATCATTTGGGTTTTAGTTTTAATTAAATTGGATAGTTTTTAAAGTTTCAATTTTTGATCTTATAGTATAGTCAAACTTATGTCGTGATCCTACGAGGGTGAGCTAACTCCAAAAATCCGCCCTCAGTTCGAATTGTAGGCAGCAACTCGTCGATAACCATCTTTCGGGTAACCTAGCCTCCCATCCCTCGGGGAACCCCGCCCTTAACCCATTAACGAAAAAGAAAATATAAAAAGATAAGGTCATTCCATTTCGACAAAAGACCCACACCACGTATAGTTGTTTTCCATTCGGCTTATATTTGAGCTTAGGATGGAGTAAAAAATAAAAGAAAGAGACGTGAGATTTTGAGGCCAATAAAAAATAATTTGTGGAGTTTAATCAAAACATATGGACTAATTAAAGTTGAAATAAAGCCCAAATCATACCGGCTAAATTAAACCTTAATTTTAGTAACCAATTTGAAATTATATTACTCAAATAGTATGGATTAAATTTGTAATGAAAGATAATTAGATGCTTATCGATATGTTAGGGAGGGAGATTCGAACTCACAACTTCTTGATTGAAGATATATGTCAATTACCGTTGAGTTATGTTCGTTTTGACAGCTATTAAATTTTTGTTGGAAGTTAGCATGCAGGAAATAGACGACCGAAAAGTATCTAAATGTTATTCATTTGTGATGAGCTCAAACCAGCCCGTAAGTGAATAAAGAATGGGAAACCATCAAAAGTAAGATGATAAATTTTCAATTTAGAACCGTCCAATTTATTTTTATTTTACAGTTTTTAAAAATTTAAGCTTTTCAAAAACAAAATAAATTTTTGAAAACTTCTTCTTTTAGTTTTCAAAAAGTAAGATAGGAAATACAAGAGTGAAAGTTTTATTTACAAGCTTAATTTTTTAAAATAAAAAAATAAAATAAGTATCTCTTATTTATTAGAGTTTCGAGATTGAAGAACGGTAGATGTAAAAGAGTTAAAAAAAGAAAAATTTGTCCACTCGACGTTAGAAAATATTTAAATCTTAGTAAGAACGTATCTTTATATTAACCAACACTGAAAAATTGACAGTTCGTTATTAAAAAACAAATTCTCAGCATTTCTATTTCTAAATTATCGCACATTTAACAATAGAAAACAAAATAGATTTTCACCGATCAAGACCTAAATATTTTCTCTAAGTATCAAATTTGTTGATGCAGAAATTTGGCCTCCTAGGATTCGGCCAAATTTGCACCAATCTTATAGAATAAAATGGATCAACGAGACCTGCAAAACAAAAGAGCATTAAAGACCGGTGGCTTTTGCCACACAAGCTCCGATGCTTGAGTCAGAATCAGAGTAGTAGAATAGAAATAATCTAAGTATATTTGTTGCGTAGCAAATAGTAGAGACTTGTGGTGTATTTCAACATACCTTTAGGTTTGGTTCACCCTCTTATTTATAGGAGCCTAATCATTTTAGGATTTACACAAGTCAAATTCTAGTGTGCTTAGGAGATCTGGACTCCTGGTGGGCCTATTGTGGAATCGAGAGTCGAGACAAAGTAGGTTCGGGTCGGGTGGTACATATGTCGAGAGAGAACCGCCATGTCGAGAAGGTCTTAGCGTCGAGCAGTCGAACTCAGGTCGACCGTGGTCGACTCAGACTACTGG